TATATAGAGAGAGAGAGAGAGAGAGAGAGAGAGAGAGAGAGAGAGAGAGTGAGAGAGAGAGAGGGAGGGAGATAGAGAGAGAGAGAGCGAGAGGGAGAGACAGAGAGAGAGAGAGAGGGGGAAAAAAAGGGGAAAGAGAGAGAGTGAAAGGGAGGGAGAGAGAATGGGTGGAGAAAGAGAGAGAAGGGGAGAAAAAAGAGGGGAGAGATAATAGAGAGGAAGGTAGGATGAATGTGGGGCATGGCTTGTGGGGGACCGCCCCCTTGTTCCAGGCATAGTGTGGAGGGTGGCATCTGCCTATCTTGGCTTATATGGTATCATCCGGTCAGAAATGAGCCCTATGCCCTGAGCCTAGTTTTTGTCAGCTCGTTGGGCTGAAATGATGGTTAATGTTTGGGCAATGAGGTTCTGTCAAGATTGGCTTATGGAGGAAGTCTCTGCTTCGTGATTACTATGTGGCATGGTTTCGCTTAAGAAAAAGAGTTTTCCGGTATTTTCGAAGTGTTATGCTGGTGTGTAGGGGCAGGGCGGTATGGCAACGAACATGGTAATGAGAGTCACGGTTTGGTGCTCAAGGGGTGGGTATGCTTGTAGCTTTTATGCGTGCCTGGGGGGATGATTTCAAAGCTGGGAGACTATTGTTACTCACCTGATGTATATCGTTTGATAGAGATAGGGTTCTGCGAATCCTAACGTGACCGGGAGCGGTCGAAGGATGTTGTCGAGGTCGTGCGGGCTTCTCCTACGGGTTACTAGGAACGGACTGTTGCCTGATGATGTGCAATGACGATCGCACCTACTGATCTGGAACGTGATAATTGGTCTTATTTGGTGATGCTTTTGGATGGGAATGGCATGAGGGGTTCCCCCTTCGTACCGAGCTTGGCATGAAGGGTGGCACAGAGCTTGGCATGAATGATGGTTTTGGTAATCAGACCTAGCTTAGAAGGCCATTGTTCCATTGTGGTACGATGTCACAGAGTGTGTGTGGTTTCGCTCATGGGCCACGTTGGTTGGAAGGAATGGGCCGTGATCTACGGCGTGATTACTCAGTAAAAGCTTCATGTATGTGTTCAGACGTAAGATTGGATGGAGAGGCAATGGCTTGGGGAATGAATGGGCAAGGGGTCTATGGGTTGTCGATACCCTGGGATAACACTCTCATATGTGTATATATGTATATATGTATTCGTTCGTGTATACATATATATGTATATATATGAGAGGATACATAGGCTACCCGTCGCATGTCCGATTAGTTAGGCTGACCGTGTTGACGTGGTGATGGAGAAATGATTGGTCTACCATGCCGTCGAAGACCCTTTTCTCACAAGGATTTTTTC